CCACAAGAATTGACGGACCGTATGATTTCTAATGATCCCGAAAAAGTGGTTTATATGGAGAATTTTTCCGAAGTTTAAGGATTTCACAGCTTATATGGATTTCACGGATTCATAGGTTTGCTAGTATCTGGCTTTCACGAACTCATAGCTTTGCTAGGTTTCGGCTTCATAGCTGAANNTTAGCTAAAATCAGACAAATATAACAAAATTTAGGATTCAGAACCAGCTATTTTTAAATTTCGGTCCCCGCAACTTTTCATTATTCCGAACCCCTGAAACAATAGCTGATTCTGAATAATTTCCCCGAAACTTTTCATTAATCCGAACCCCTCCATTAAATCGGGTGCGACATTAGAATCAAAGGTGGCTTCGACAGTACCGACGTAAATTACTAGAAGCGGTTATTCATCGGTCACCAGAGCGGAGGAGACCCTGACGGTGACTATCCTGGATCTGGTCCAGCAAGCCGCAAATTACAAGCAGCTGAAGAAGGGTGCCAACGAGGCGTCCGCTCGCGAGGGAGGGGGTTCTTACCTTGGAGCAGACTGCATGGGCAAATGAGGACCTACCTAGCTCTGATTGACCCACCTTGTGGGGAATGTAGCGGAAGCCAGGAGAACAGGTGGATCTCTCCGCCTCCAAGATTCAGGGTGATGTTGATGTTGCGGACGCAGGTCTTCTCCAGCAAGCCTGAGTAGTTTGGTTTCAGTTTGCACACCAATGCGATTTGTGCTCAGCTCTTGCGTCTTGCGTCGTTTTTCCTCGTCGACATCATGTGGCCTTGCCAGAGTTTCAACACAGGTGGGCCTGACATCAGATGCGCAGCAGCTTCCTGAAGCAAGTCAGAAGTCACACCGTGGACGCGCTCAACCCAGAACAGCCAAGAGATGCTGCAAAGGTTACTTCATCTCACGTGTGAGTCCTATTCAAAAATCTGCTGGCTGCCTCTTCGGGAGTTCACTGTCACCACGCGCAGGCAACGAAGACCCTGAACCGTGGCACAGCCGAGCTGGTGATCCTTGCAGCGGATGCAGAGCCGTTAGAGATTCTTCTGCACCTGCCAGGGCCTTGTTCGTATTTGCGTAGCTGTCCGCAAAGGAAAGTATGTCAAGGGATGCTGAGGGTTTCATGATGCCCAGTCCCGAAAAGCAAGCCTGGTAGATGCTGATGTGCACCGCAGCAGCATGCTGTTGATGCCAGAACACAAGAACGCCATCCTAGTGAGTGCTGTGCAAGCATTTGTATGATGATCTTACTGAACGTCTTCTTGCTGCCATCTTTTTGCACATGACTGCTTGGCAAAGACAACCATAGCTGTGATAGGATGTCTCCTTTGAAGATCACACTTGGATGAAGCGGCACTGAATATTCCTTCATCCCTGAAGCTTTTTGTCGGCGCCATCTCGAGCCGTGTTTTACTACTTGCCTTCGGGTGTTAGGCCATTGGTCTGCGAAGACAAGAACGTGCCCTACGTCTTCGTGAAGTCCAAGACGCTGGGTTTATCCCAGGGTCACTGCCATTTTCTCTTGCTTATCAGAGCAACGTTTGAACGTGCATTTTTGAACAAAGTGAGGGAGATTTTGTAAGCACCGATCAGGACAGCACTGGGCCGTGCATGTGGAGTCTCCAGGCAGCGGACATAGGAGTTGACACCTTGAGGTGTGGATTGAACCGTGAACCCCCAGACCTCTTGCTGAAAGCTGTAGACTGGCAAGCCCAAAGCAGTCAGTCCCTGCGCAGCCGAAATTCCGCAGCACGCCAGGCCAGTGATCTCCTGTTCGATTACGTCCAAGGAAGGTTCCCAGCTCAACACGCAGATACAGGCTGGCTAGACTAGCACTTTCCAGTATGCATGCCACAGCTGCATGTGTTCCAACATGTTCCAGCCAATCCAAGCGTTTAAGTTGATACGTGGGCAGAGCATGGCCCACTCTGCAATGTGAGTTGACTGCGTTCAAACAAAGCTACATCGCTGGGTAGATACCTGCTCAAGGTTCAACCACCAACGAATCCCTATACTGTCAGGATCTGAAGGACCAGATTGAGATGATTCTTGTCTGAGAGCGCTCCGAAACTCTCCGGGTCCACCTTGCAGATAAAGTGATGGCTGTACCGGAGGCTACACTTCTGAATTCTCGATCTAGCCATCCTTTGGTTGCGTAAGGACACACAGAGCAGGTGCTATAGAGGATGTCTAGAACTGTTGGCAGCGACCCGTTGGGGTCAAACAAGATCTGACCTGCATGTTTCAAAATGGCACGGCAGGGCTTCGAAGTTTGGAAGGCTGTTGTCCTTGTGCGTAAAGTGGCCTGGATATTGAAGTCAGATGTTCTCCGAAGAGGCAGCATGACCCTTGCGCCAACAGCCTGCTTTCAGATATTGAGGGCCCAGGCCCTGGCTGCTGGACAGAGCAAGTCCCGCAAAGCTGCCTAACAACAGAAATAACGGTGATCATTTTTCACACCGCTAGGTTCCTTGTTCTGTCGGTACGTATGAAGGGAATGTTCTCGTGCCATGGAGGTATCTGTGTGTTCGTTTGAGCCACAGCTTCCTGGTAGAACTGAAGGTTCTGAAATAGTGCCAGGCACTCGTGCGTGGAGAGAGTAGATACCCGAACGGCTCCTTGGCAGACGAGCTGCGGTAGACTTCCGTCCTGGCTATACAAGAACGCAAGCACAAAAAGCTTAAGTGACAAAAGGCTGCGGGAAAAAAAAGGCTCTGTCCCGAAGATGCTAGAGGTTCCCAGTGTGGATTCTGGAAGTTAAAGTTGTAGTTGTTTTCTTGTTTGCCCCCTGGGCACTCCACACCTTTCACGCATCTCTTCTGAAGAGTCCTCACAGGATCCTGGTTATGGGGATTCGTTTGATGCATCATGCAGACTTCTGGGAGGCTTGGCGCCATGGCATGACCCGCTTTGGTCATGGCCGCAGCCTGGCTAAAGCATAAGGGACTTTAAGTGCCATCAATCAGGTTAACTAGGCTTGCGGTCTAGTGGTTAATGGAAAACCTAGTGGAAACGAACATGGACAGCCAAATGGACGCTGGTTTATACGTAGGGGTTTTGGCGGGTCTGCAAGCTCTCGTTCAACCAAGATGATACCGCGGAACTCCACGCTCCGGTTGCAAGGGCCCCAGAAGTTGAAAATCACCCCAGTAGCCAGATGTGGATGCTTGACCCATTCGCTGCTGCCCAGGCACTCTGGGACTTCCCCTGCTGCGTGACTCGTGCATGCTACTCAGTGTTTCCAATGCCTATACCGTGGATCCGTGGATGTCCATGGCTGAGCCAGCCTAGGACTTCCTCCTCCCCGTGCACACCTTGATCGAGTTCTAGACGATCTAGACCTGTTGATATGCTTCCCCTATCCGAGGGTGGGGGACTGCTGGCACCTGACCGGCACCCTGACTGACATGAGGATTTCCGCCAATCTCGGTTCGATGCCGATTATGAGAACTGGTACCATCAAAGCGGACGATGGCCTTCATTACATCCGGCACACCGAAGGCAAAATCCCATGAGTTTCAATCGCGAATTAGTGCAACCGCTGGAGCAGCCAGCAGAGGATCCCCCAAATTATACGTAGGTTGAGCAGGACGACCTAGCCCGGTACAGCAGGCCTGGTAGCCACAATATCTGTCCAAGCTTGCGCGCATCATTTGACAAGATGTGGCAGCCTGCATTTCAAATAGAGCTCAATTTGAGGGATCCAGTGCTCTCCAGCAGCAATTGCGATGTCTCGCAGCAAGGCTTATTTGCGCTAGGCCCAGCACTGTAGCCGTTTGTGTAGCCTCCAAAGTCACATAGGGCTTCTGTTTATAATGCAGAAGAAATTAGGACGCCTTGAGATTTCGAAAATTATGGGCCTAGACTGCGCGGCCTGAACTAATATGATGCTTGTCAAGAACAGTGAGCACTAGTCTATCGAGACATCGCCACATGTGCATAACGTACAGAGCAGCTGTCTCTCCATGGCTGCGTGTGGGTGGAGCAGCTGAGCAGAAGTAGATCCTCGTTCCCGCTGTCCCTCGCTCTGGCGTTTGCGGGCTCCGTCCACATCAATGAGATCCAGGCTTTCTCTTCTGCACAGCTTGCAACCTGCCTTGGTTATAACCCGCCTTGGTTATTTAGTTGCCACTTTGAGAATGTTTCTGGACTTCGCTGCGGCATCCAGGTTTAAAAGCATGGACCTCAACTCGTACCCGTTCAATCTGCGCAGTTTGCAGGTGTAGATTCATAGCAATGAGCTTCATGAGAGCCATAAGCGACAATTATGGGGGGTTGGTCGATGCCCCTGTGAAGTGCTGGCTGTAGCATGGCGCTGTTGTCCTACAATCCTGGCGTTGCTTTCGTGGCCCAAATCTCGGCGCGGCTTCCTTTAGCCGAAATAAGGCTCTGTTTCGATTGCCTTTCTCTCAACCCAGTGTGACAAAGTATGCGCGAGGTTTGCATCAGATCCGGGTCAGAGGATCTTTGAGAGGGGTTCACACAATGTGTGTCACACAGAAAGCTCTTGTCAGAGTCTGGCCGTATGCTTCTACATGTGGAGTGGTTGCTCGATCTTCGCAGCTGCCGCCATAGCTCAGAGTGCCAGGAGCTCAGCAAAGCATGGCAAAAACCTGCAGCTAAGTCGCAGACGCTGTGCTTCTCGGTTCTCAGAAGCTTTCTGATGATCAGGAGCCCGAATTGTCTGGACAACGGTAATGAATTTGGATTTGGTTTGGTGAAGTCCCCGTTCAGCTTCAGCTGCAGCCTTCCAGCATCAGCACGCCAACATCATAAGACCCTTCAGGGCCATACCCAACATCTCTGAAACCTTACCTTGCAAAGGAGCGCGCTCAAGCCAGTGAGGCCTGTGACGGCCTTAGCAAAGCCGTGCGATAAGAAGCCTTCCCCAGACTTGCTGCCTCCCATGTAGCGGTTTCCTTTTCTTACCCAGAATGCATGGACAACCAAATGGAAACTAGAAAAGAACAGACAACGTTTTAGATGTGACAGAACAGTAATGCGAGTGCGTATAAAAGGCTAGCCAGCGAGTCGATCAGCTGGATAGGGTCCGGCCATCATGAGGAGAGGAGAGACTCACAAGCAGGATTTGGAACAGGGCCGCGCAAAACTACAGACCACAACTCATACTTGCACTGCATGCCAGAATGTCACTCTGTGTGTGCGTGTGTCGCCAAATGTTTCGAAGATCTTGCAGTCGTTTCCTGCCCAAGCTGGGGAGATGGATTGTTGTGCACCAACAACAGACGAAAATGGGCGCCCAAGCGGGATCCAGATCAAGCATGTGCACGAGATGCAGTTCCCCATGAATGTGGTGAAGGTAGCAGTGATCAAATCTGGTTCCGCTGATCAGCTGCTAGACCCTTGTGTCTGTATGTGTGCTGTTGTAGGGGATATGTAGACAAAGGGACGTTCTGATACATTTGGAGGCAGGTGCGTTGACTGCAATCTGAAGATGTAAGACATGCAATCCTGTTTGGTTTGGGTAGTCTGCATGAGGTTGAGGTCTGGGCTGGTAGTGTAGTGCCGTATGGCGTTGTGGCTCACGATTTCTAAGCGGTCGGAGCTTTTACAGTAGATTGTGTTCCAACGGACAACTAGTATGACTAAGATCCAATTTGTGAGAATCTGTCGAAAGACCATGGAGGTGGCAGATCTCTTGCAGATGGAGGGCATCCCACCATCGCACCAAGAGTTGAAAGACCGGGGCCTGCTTCATGAATGGCACCTGGGCTCAGACCTTTTTCGCAGCGAGCTCCGCATTTGCCTTTTGACCATGGTTTTTGGACTGATTCCATACTCTTGCCAGCATCCTTTCGGGCATCCGTGTTTAGAACAGCCTACTCGTGGGCTTATGGCAAAATTTCATTGCGCCGTGTCCAGGTCCCGTGGAATGTTCACGGTCTTCGTGTCACACCAGTGGCTTTCGTCCAGACATCCGGACCCTCATGGACAGCAGCTGAAGGTTCTGCGCTTGGCATTGCAGGGCATTGTCGATGGATCTTTGCAGGTGGAAGCAGATCCGATCAGCCGCATGCAAGGCGAGCAAAGTGGGATGTCAGGTCGCGCACGCAAGGCAGGAAATGGGGTTCTTGAATTGTTGCCTCAGCAACTACTTGTCGTCGGAGCCTTTGTAGCCGGGCTTACGCTTTAATTATAGCATATTCGCCTCGTTGCTGGATATTTCTGGTGTGGGACCTGGCTCATGCAGGCTTGGTAGTGCTGATGTCTGGTGATTGTGATCCCTGTGTCACGCTCAGAGCTGCACGCACTTTTGTTTGAGTGCAAGCAACAAATTGACGTCTTAGTAAGTTCGGGTTCTGAATGAAGTTGTCAAGAACCAGCACAAATTACTTGGAAACTGCGATCAGTCTAGTGTGTCAGATGATGTCAGAAGATTTCAGAAGCAAACACCAGCTTGTGCAGCCTGCAGGGGAGCTTTGATCGGGTGAGCGACATTAAGACACTGTCGGCTGTACTTGCGGTCGTGGTTCATGGGTTTAATGGTGCTCCTTGATGCTCAGCATTCTTAACAGCCTCCATGACCTGCAGGACGTGAGCAATGGCTTTGTGTTCCTGGACTGGTTTGCAATCCCGAGCATCACCGTCCGGAAGACGGAGAGCGACGTTAAGTCTGAGGTTCTAAGGGCAGTTCGCAGTATCCCGGCCTATGTGGAGGTTGCAGACCTCTTCGTGTCTTTGGTTCCCGAGCTGATTACCGACCGTGGTAGAGCTCTGACAGCAGCCGAGAACGCTTTGACGTGATTTGACAACTTGGTTAGGTCTCCGGTAACCATACTGCTTGAATGACGCAATGGGCTCAAAAAGCAAGGTGCGTGCAATTATAAATCCTGCATTTCGAGAGGGTGGTGTCGTGCGGAGCTCTGGTGCCGCCTTCTCTCATGCAAGCAGGAAACAAGCGTGATCGTGGTGCATGGCTCCAAAGAGGCGAAATTCATTCACCCCTTGGACTGGCAGGCCTTCCCCACGTTTGCATAGACATCGCATTGCTAAACCTAAGCATCATGTTGTCCAGGTTCTGTAGCACGGAAACTCCTCTTCAAGGGTCTCTAAGCATGAGCATGCTACGCGTCATGTGCGTCGGCAAAGACGCAACTTGCAAGCTTCAGAAGAAGCTCGTGCTAGTTTCGATCCAGCACCCAGACCAAAACACCGTAATCCAACCGCAACACAGCACCCCAGCATGAGTGAGCACAGTTGGAATATGGCACAGCGTGGGAGTGGACAGCACTTTTCTCGGGCCTTATGCGCTGCTTCTGTTAAGCCCTCCTCTTTGTTCTTGATACACGCAAGCCTTGCGAAGTCGGCATCTCAAACCTTATCTTGCATTTTTGGTGGAGGGTCTGAGGTTCGGGT